CTCTCTCTCTCTCTCTCTCTCTCTCTCTCTCTCTCTCTCTCTCTCTTGCAAAGTCTACTCGGCTATTTTCTTGCACCACCCGGGGGGAGGGCAGGTGGAGGGAAGGAAGGGCATTGCTCAGAAAGTAAAAAAAAAAAAAAAGAATTGACATCACTGAAGTCACATGATTGGCAAGAACCAATTAAGATGGGCTGTGGAAAGGGGAACAGTTAAATTTGTAATTTGGGTTGTGTGAAAACTTCTTTGGGCCTCATAAACAACCACAGAACCACAAGTTGGGTAGCCTGGCAGTGTCAGAAGTCTGAGCCCGGCATAGTGGTCAGTAAGCAGGACGAATCACACTGACTGCAAACCACAGGGTTTCGCAGAGTTCTGAACATCATCAACCCACAGCCAAGACGCCGCTTTTTTTTTTTTTTTTAAATCGTTACCAATTTGAATATTTGTCTTCGCAAAGGTACATTCTTTTTCATAAGGCTCAGGGAGCCCCAGAGGCGTCGAGGGGGGGGAGAAAAGGAGCCGTAGGAAACCATGGTTGGGGGTGAGGTTAAAACAGTGACCTTTCTTGGGTTTTCGTTCTTAAGGTAAAAGAAATCATTGAATCCCCCGCCTTCAGAAGAAGGTACCTTTTCAGGAGGAAGCGATGGCTTCAGACAGCATATTTGAGTCATTTCCTTCATACCCACAGTGCTTCATGAGAGGTGAGTACGCTCTGGGCTTTTCATATCTACTTTTGCTCAGCGTTGCTGGTAATGAAGTGGCAGCCTGTTGTAACTTGGTGCAGAGAGAGCCCCTGCCGGTGCCCTGTCTGTCTGGGATAGGAGGAATTCAGACTCGGGCATATGATTTCAAGACTATTGGATTACTTCTTCATCAGATGGCCCCTCTTCAGAAATGTTCTCATAAATACTTAGTTGAGCTGTTGAAGGGTTCAGTCGGTGGGTGAGAACTTTGTCAAGTGCAAGTAAGTTGGGCTGCTCCGGATTAAAATCCTAGAGATTAGAACGTTTGCAGGAAGCTCTCTGGGTTTTCTTCGGTTGCCCCTTGCCTGGGATGACTGTGGCTGAGTTGTTCTGCGCTGGGCGTGCAGTATGCCCCACATGCCAGCCTGTCCCAGGCTTCAGTGGGCTCGTGCACGGCCAGCCAGGAGGGCCGGTGCCAGCGTAGGGCAGAGGCGGAGGTAGGCTCACAGCCCGGGCGGGAACAGCAGGGACCAAGTAGCAAGTCAGTTGTCTCCAAAAGGCAGAGAGAACAGGAGCTGGGCAGACTCGTGTAGGTCGAAAGCCCTAGGATGGGGCCATGCTGGGTTAGTCCTTGCAGCCTCAGTGCAAAGAGGCAGCCGGCTTCTTCTGAGAGAGAAAGAAAGCAAAGGGTACAGAGGTTTCTCTCGCCAAGAGCAATGAAAAAGTTGCCTAAGTCAAGCGTTTGTGGCAGCTGAAGTCATTAGATTACCCGTTTCCTAATAGGAGCAGCTACTGTGGGATACCTGTCTGCATTTTTGCAACCAGCTTCTTGAAATACACAGAGCTGGGGTTGAGCTCTGAGTGTATGAGTACGTGTGTGTGCATGTGCGTTCTGTGTATCTTTGCTGGGAATATAGGGCCGCGCCTAAACCAACACAAATAATAACAGAGAAATGTCACGGAGGCATTGCCGTGTGCCGGGGCAAGCACTCTGACCAGTGCCTGTGGAGTGTGGCTTCATGGTTTGGCAGAGCTGGGATGGAGTGGGATGGATGGGATGGGGAAATAATTAATTTTCTGGCTACAAACTCTCGCGCGCACCCAAATAGTATCTGTGACTCATTATTTATTCATCAAGCCAAGTGAGCCGAAGAATGCAGAGGGCTGCCAGCCACTTTGTCACAACAAACGCTATTGTGGATGTCACAGAGCCTCTATGTTTCCGGGTCTCTGAAATTTAAACACTTGACAAAGATCTGTGTGTGTGTGTGTGTGTGTGTGTGTGTGTGTGTGCTGGGGGACAGTAGGATTTCAGACGGAGAAGAAAGCAAGTCATTAACCGATTCAAAGCTTCAAATTAAAGGGTTTTCGAGTGCTTCTTTACTGGCAGCTGAGGACATTTTAGTGAAGTTGAATCATGCGATGCGTATGAGTCACACATCCTCGCGGCGATGGGCCGAAACGCCGGCCGCTGGTGAGAAGCTGTGGACGGCTCTCGCTGCATTTCCTCTAGGCCGCTAACAAGCAAGGAAGCAATATTTGTAGAATAACAGACAAAAAAAAAAAAGATCTTCCTGCTTCGACTCTGCTTTCAATACCCCCTCCAAACGATGATTGTTTCCTATTCTATCAACTCAGGAAGGCAGGTTCAGGAAAGTTTTCAACATTCCACTGGGTAATAGATTGGATTTCTGTGTGCAGTGCTGGCCTGACTTCTGTCCTTACTGGTCAGACAACAGAGATAATGAGGGGACCCGGTGACCTGCTCAGATGCCGGGAAAGACAGGGAGCTCAGCCTCTAACGCAGCCCCACAGCCTCTGTGTCCCCAGGACAGTCACCAGCTCGCCCCAGGTTAGGAACCAGTGGCAGTTAGCTTTCAAGGGGGCAAAATGGAGCGGACCCCAGGACCCCAAGCAAGACCGAGAAGGGCTCGTGGGAAAAGGTCTTTTCACTCCTTCCTCTCCAAGGAACTCGGGGCCTCTCATAATCTCTAACTCAAGAATATAATATTGAGATTGAATTTCAGAGAATCAAAGTGAAATCTTGGCCATTTTCACAGCTCACTTTATCTAGGTGATTTGTCAAGCCAAGGGTTTACATTGTCTGCGTTAGCTGTCCACACCACTCATCTGAGCTGGAAAGGTGGCAGAATGTCATGGCATTTGGTGCTATGTGGGTAGTGCCTCAGAGTGCGATGCTAGAAGAATCGCCCTCCTCTCTAACAGAGTGTTCTCCCCCGAGTTGGTACCCCTGTTTCCCCAGCCCGGCCATCAGCGGCTCCCAGCACTGTGGTCATTTCTCACTGCCTGTAATTTAAAGTGTCTGTGCCCTCCCCAGCTGCAGCTCCGAGCGAGCGGGGAAAACATTTTGTTTTGTTCCTGGGATGGTCTTTTATCAGTGCATGCAATTCTCACAGGAGGAAACCCGTAACTCATTTTTAGCAAGATACCCATGTAGAAATGGAGGGGAAAAAGAAGCGTGGCGCCCAGCAAACCATTGTTCCCTTCTGTGTGAGAAGGCAAGCGAGAGTCTGAGAGCCTGGCATGCAAAACAAGTGTGGTCTACCACAGAGAAGGCCGCTCTCTTTCTGTCCCACTGCACCGGCTTCTCACTGAATGTGCTCAGGCAAGAAGACGAGGTGTGGTTGAAATTCCCTTGCGTGATTCCACGTGGTTCACGGCGTGAAGTCTCTGCAGGACCCAAACTTGGGTGTCCTGGAGGGGTACCACGTGTGGGCCCTCAGAGCTGCGGTAGGCTTAGAGAGGAAGAGCATCGGCACGTATGTTTTTGCAAAATGCCTCAGGTAGCCTTGTTCTTAGAAGTGGCTTAGTGGTCTATGCAAAGCCTGAATGCTAATATGCCTCCGAGTTCCTAGAACCACAGGTAAAAATCTCGGCGGGGCTGACTCTCCGCTGTCTTCTCGAGGCATCTCTCAAAAGGAATTGCAGGATCCAAGGCTGCACGTGTGAAGCGTGCTTCTCTGTGAGCCTCGGTTTGCCACTTTTTTCAGAGAAATATTTATGAAGGCATTTCTGGCTCTGCTGAAGTTTTAAGATCACAGAAAGCCGTCGATTTAACTGGGTATCAGACACTGTGTGAAAACTGTATTAGTTTGCTAGGGCTGCCGTAACAAACTACCACGGACTGGGGTGGGTTGTCTCATGATCCTGGAAGTCAGAAATCTCATGGTGAATCCTGGTGTAGCTTTGTTTTTTGGAAGGTTTCAAGGTGTCAGGAGGTTGGTTTCTTCTGAGGCTTCTTTCTTTGGCTTGTAGAAGGCCATCTTCTCCATGTCCTCAGACGGTCTTCCTTTGTATTTACCTACGTCATAATTTCCTCTTCTTACAAGGACACTAGTCATATTGCATTAGAGCACACCCGAAGGACCTTGTTTAATCTTAATTTTCTCTGTAAAAGCCCTATCTCCAAATACAGTCACCTTCTGAAGTACTAGGAGTTAGGACTTCAAGTATGAACTTGGGGAGGACACAGTTCAGTCCCTAACAGTGTGTGTTAGCAAATCTGATTCCCTCTGACCCACCAGGAACCTGTACTTTTCCTAAGTGCCCTCCTGGATGTGGAAGAATCAGACTCCAGCTCCCCCATGTGAGATGCAGCTTTGCATTCTGAAACTGCCCACACATTTTGAAACTGAGGGGGAAAAAAAGGTGTTAAAATCTAACTAAACTCATAATCATAGCCTTTGCCATTTAGTTCCTTTGCATGCTAAGAAACCTTTGAAAATGACAAGACACGATTTTGAAATGTTTAAGTTTTAAAAGAGCAAAACTCAGTCCCCCAAAAGACACCACCTCCTTAGCTCTGCCTCTTCCCCAGGGATCGTCGCTGTAATTCCAAACCCTCCCAGGACACACTCCCCCCTTGGGGGTGGGGGACAGGCCACAGGAGGCCCCGCACCTGCCCACACTCTAAGGGCCGGCACAGTGAGCCACCAGGGACAGAAGCAACTTCAGAAGGAGCAGCTGAGCCAGGATCTAACCAGCAAGAAGGCTTGAAGAGCTTTGGAAGCAAATTCATAGCCAGGAGATTTCTCTCTTCTCTTGAAATAGATCTGAAATGTGTACTCTGAAAAGATCTGCCCCTTTACTGAGAAAGAAAGCGATGCTGGGGCAGAGGGAGGCTCCAGGGCCACTGCACGTGCAGAATCTAATAGGGAAACGCTTGCGGGTGTCGGTCTAGAGGACAGAGCCCAGGAGTTTGTAAAAGCTGCCAGGACCAGAAAGAGAAGGCGCAGGGGCTGAATGAGGGGCAGGCACAGACTCAGGACAGTGATGCCCTTTGCTATCTTTTCCATTTGTCTGGCTTTTCCCGAATAGCAGCTTCTCTCTTGAGCTTTGGTTTCCTCATGTATAAAGTGAGGATAATAGTAGGACCTGTCGTTAACGTACCTGCGTGGACTGAACTAAGCAACCAGTGTGAAGTGCTCAGCACAGTCATGAATATAACGGGCAGCTAATGTCAGCCGTGGCTACTGATGTTCAGTTTCCTAAGATGACGCTCAGTCAGAGCTGTCTACTCTCAGAAAGGAGAAGTCACGAGGCCGTGGGGGGACCCCAGGAGAGGCTCCCTGGAGACAGAGTCCCAGGGGTTGGGGAGGAGATGGTGTGGAAGGTCGGAGCCAAGAAGGGAGGGAAGGGGGGTCTAGGTGAGGGTCCACCCAGGGCAGAGGTGGGGCAGCAGGACCACAGTGGGGTGTGGGAGGTCCACCTCTTCAACACCATGTTAGCCTTGTTCTACTTGTTAGTAACCAAAAAGAGGACAGAGGAAGAGCAAGGGCTCTTTACGTAACTCCACGGGCTTAGCTTTTCAATATTGAGGCTAACTGGGGCGTGTTGTATTGGAATCTTGATAGAAGTTTCTCCTCCTTGAGGTCCTGGTATCGCTTTACTCTACTGAAGGCCCTTCTTAATGAAAAAGCCACTTCACCCGGTGACCCTCTGCAGGTTCCTGGCTCCGTGCTTCTGGTGACATTTCTGACCATGCATTTGTCAAAGCC